ACAAACAAACAAAAACACTCTGACTCGAAGACTTTTATAGAATGAAAAATGCCTAATTTTGTCAAAAGTTAGATTTATAGTCAAGAATGATGACAGGAGTTGGTTTACACCTGTACATTTAATCTGAATCGGCATTAATTCCTCCTTCATATTCTTATTTTCCCACTTTTTTGCCCCCCGTCCTAAACAGGCAGCAGACAGCCTAGTCATTTCGTCTGCATAAAAGCTTAGCAGCACAATTCACTGCGTATGTGCTTAAGCCAAGATTTTGGGTGTGTGGTTACGAGTGTGTGTTTGTGGCGAGACCTTGACCTTGACTGCAGTCCCTAATGGAGGAGGCTGTTCTGTGAATGACTCGAACTCCCCCCGCCGTACAGCGGTATGTAGCAGCCCATAAAGCATGCTTACGTCCCACTCTGGTTTCAGGGAGTGGAGGCCCGAACCCCGCCTCTTCCTCACACTCTGAAATAGCCACGTCCTTGTCCCCACACGGAGCACAGTGTGAGTCGGGTGTGTATATATGCGGCCGTGGTTGATTGAGGAGCAGATTGCTGGTGACAGGTCACACTGCGTTCCGTCCCTCCGACCCCCCAGATTAGCGACCCGAGGCCCCCACGCTGCCCTCCCCTCCTCTGGGCCCCCACCTGTTAGGATCCCTCTGCTGCTCCGAGCTTTCCCTCTCTTACACACACACACACACACACACACACACACACAGTAGACAACCTGCATTAACAGAATTCTCTTATTTCTCCGTCACTCACCCCGCAGGTTATAAAGGCCATTACGAGTCGCTGAGGTGCATGCGTGCGTTTGAGTGTGTGTTGCCTGGCTAGGAATGTGTGTGGGTTGAAAAGACGCCTGTCACAGCATGCTCTCATAATTGCCCTCTTAGCCAATTATCCCCCATTTAAAAGCAAATCACCTGCTCTGCTCCCATGTCCACACAAATGCGCGTACTCACACCACACACACACACACACACACACACACACATGCACATACACGCGATAAATAACAGAGAAACTTAATATTTGATAATTGTTTGTTCCTTAGTGATACGTTTGTTTATTGTGCTGTATTGCTTTTCTCTGTCGGCACCATTCACACGTTTGTGTCTTCTCCTTTCTTCAGATTCTGATGCACACCAAAGACATGGTTCAGAAGGTGGGTTATGAAGTAATTGTTGTGCAGATCTTATAAATGTAACACAAGAAAATGTTTAAAAGACAAATAAATGTGGATTAGAGCTGGACAAAATGGCCTAAAATGTATATCGGAATAAACTGTTAAAGTCCTCTTTTGTTTCTTCTAATTTCTTGCTCCCGGTGGTAAAGATTCTTACCTAAGAGTAGGCAAATTGAATTGCTAAACTTTGAGTTAAATGTCATTAATTTTAATAGCTGTTATCAATGTAATGGCATAAATGTAAGTTATGTTTTAGAAAATTATGTAATTCAGTGTTCCTAAGTTATTAATTAATTTTTTGTCCTTTGTCTTTTTCTTTATTTGTGGGTGACTCAGATGAATCTGGAAGTCATCTATGGAGATACTGACTCCATCATGATCAACACCAACAGCAAGTCTCTGGAGGAGGTCTTCAAACTCGGCAATAAGGTTTGTTTTATATAATTCTGTATTTACAGCAGTGAGATGTTATCTGCTTCCTTTTCGGAGGTTTAATTTTCATTGTATGTGTGTTTTATTTCCAGGTGAAGGCAGAGGTAAACAAGCTGTACAAACTGCTGGAGATCGACATTGACGGCGTGTTCAAGTCACTTTTACTGCTGAAGAAGAAGAAATATGCAGCCCTGGTAGTGGAGCATCACGGGGAAGGGAGATACAGCGTCAAGCAGGAGCTCAAAGGCTTGGACATTGTCCGCAGAGATTGGTGTGATCTGGCCAAGGAATGTGGCAAGTACGTTGGATGAACCCAATGCAACTGCAATGGCTTTTGGCCATCTTACAATTAGTGTCCCACTGGAATGTTAACATACAAATCACTTCAAGGCACTCAGAGGGTGTTCCTCTTTAATCATCTGAAGTCTTTGTTTTGGATGATATAATGTGTTCCGCTCTTCCCTTCTCTTCTTCCAGCTATGTGATTGGTCAGATTTTGTCTGACCAGAGTCGCGATGTGATTGTGGAGAACATCCAGAAACACCTGGTGGATGTGGGAGAGAAGGTAGCTGATGGAGCCATACCACTCAACAAGTATGAGATACACAAGGTGAGAATGTGACTGCATCTCTGTATTTCTGTGTTTACATAAATAAGACAGGCTTAAGACTTGTCTGTGGAAGCTGTGTTGGGAAGCCAGTTGTCTTCAGGAATTGCTGCACTTAGTGAGTACAGTGTACACAATGTAAGACTGATGAACAAGGTAGTGTGAGAAATGTGCAGGAACATTTTTTTGTGTTTCTCTTTCAAACTATGGGAGTGTTTATGCTTTATTCTGTGTAAGCACTTTTTTTTTTTTATTGCTGTCCATTCATAATTACTGTCTTATCTTCACTTCCCCACTCTCTTCCTCTCCTCCAGGCACTGACAAAGGATCCTCAGGACTATCCAGATAAGAAGAGTCTCCCTCATGTCCACGTGGCTCTGTGGATCAACTCTCAGGGTGGCCGTAGGGTCAAAGCTGGAGATACAATCTCTTACCTCATCTGCAAGGTGTGTTCATACAAGAGAGACATAAATATCCTGGCTTTCCAGATACTCATCATTTTTTTTGTAGGTTTTTCACAGTTGCGATATATAACCACAGTGTAACTGTAGAAATCCATCTCCTTTTACTTTTAGGACGGCTCAACGCTGGCAGCCAGTCAGAGAGCTTACGCTCTAGAGCAGCTTCAGAAGCAGGAGGGTCTCACTCTGGATGCACAGTACTATCTGGCCCAGCAGATCCACCCTGTGGTGTCTCGCATCTGTGACCCCATCGAGGGCATTGACGGTGTGCTCATAGCCACATGGCTGGGTAAGTTAATAACAGGGTATGGTAGGCTGCAGAAGATTGTACATTACAATTTGAAGAATGTCAGGTTTGCGGTAGAAAAATAGCAAATTACACAAATTAGTGGGGAAAAAAAAGTCAAAAGTTCAAGTGAGAGTTGTTAATTAAAATGAAACCGGGGAAGTGTTTTAATTAGTGTTGTTGACATCACTTTGAATAACATTATTGTTAAACGATCACAATTTTCATTTGCATTTTTACGATAATGCAATACTCCTATTATTTTATAAATAACCGTTGACCATGAGGTATTTTTGGGGCACAGTTTACTTTGAGTGTTAGTGCCAATTCCCTTTGCAATAAAATGACTTCCTGTTTAGCAGTCTGTTGACAGCTGAAACTGTTAAACCCAGAAAACCTTTCACACCTAAAGCCACAATAGCCTATTAAAAGTGCAAAATAGATGTTTCATTGTTTAATAGCTGTAAAACTGTGGTTTGGGTTGGAGTCCCTATGTGTAGACCTGTCTGTCGATGAGCATTTGTTCTAATCACTCTAGATTTATGTGAAATAGTCAGAATGAATGATATTGTCTGTCTCAGGTCTGGACCCGAGTCAGTTCAGAGCTCAGCAACAGCACCAGAGGGAGGAGGAGGCTGATGGCATGCTGGGAGCACCCGTCCAGCTGACTGATGAGGAGCGCTATAAAGACTGTGAGAGGTTTACTTTCACCTGTCCTCAGTGTGGCACTGACAACATCTACGACAGCGTCTTCGAAGGAGCTGTGAGTAGATGTCTACACGCACACATAATTAGCAATCAAAACGTCCTCTGTTCTTCTTCTGGTGTGTTTTTACAGGACACCAAATTATCACGTTCATTTCAGTTCTTGTTTGGACCAGAGAGTTGCCTTGGAAATATTATGTAATCTAATTAGCTTAAGCTGATTCACAGTAACAGGTTGTGGAGTCAGAAATGTGTGTGTGTGTGTGTGTGTGTGTCTGTGTGTGTAGAACACACACAAAGAACCTCACAGAGAGATGGAGAAGATCAAAAATAAGCGAAGGCTTTTATCACTAATGGTGTGTTTCACTGGTGTAATGCATTAATCGGAGACATGAATAAAGAGTATGACAGTGGGAGATTGGTGTTTCCAAAGGCATTTCAGTAAAACTTCCTGTGAAGGATTCATGCTTTAGTCATCCTCCATATTGTGTCTCCGTCTGTATTTTTAGACAGCTGCCTGGCTCCAATACGGACTCTGTTTTCATTGGCATAGTTTGGACTGCACAACTTGAAAAGCCTTTCCTTAACCCCTGCCGCTCTGCGGACACACACACATGCACACTGGTCTCCTACCATTTGTCAGGCCAAGGTCGTGTGTGTGTGTGTGTGTGTTATCAGCGTCTAATGAGGAGCAGGGCACGCAGCTTTTTCTTGTCTGGAAGACACTAATAAAACTGACAAGCCTCTGTCCTCGACTGGAGGAGAGGACTTGCATTAAATTATAAAAGGAATATTACACAACACTCCTTAAAAGGATGATATCATTACACACCTCAGCAGTTTCTCTGGTATGTTTTGCTGAGGTGCATTCACACTTGCACAACAAACAGTATATTTAGTTGGAATGCTTGTATGTATAGAAAAAGAAACAACCTGCTTTTAACAGAATATGATCTTGAATTATTGGTTAGCTGTCTTTTAGGAACAATGTGAAACTTCAGACTATACACATCCTCTAATTACTCGTGTTAATTTTCCACCATGTGTCAGAAGCCGGTATGCGCACACACACATACACACACACAGAGTAACTGATAAGACAGTAAGTTAATTAAGGTGGCGAACATGGTCTAACAGCTCAGTGAGAGGGGAGGACAGATGGGCCTTGACTCCACCACTGAAACAGAGCCAGCGATGGTAGGAGGAGGCGGTGATGGATGATGGAGGACAGACAGAGGAGGAAAGTTGTTTGATGGGGGTAGCGGGAGAGAGGGATGAAAAGATTAAGTGTGGATAGAAAAAATCTGGATGGAGCTGCAGGGATTTCCACAAGTTCATTCTTAATAGAGTGTTACGTATCCGCCACGGGCAGTTAAATCAGCAAACTGTGAAAGCTGCACATTATGATACGCAGACTTCGACGAAAAGAGTCTGGTTAGACAGTTGACATCGTAAACCTTTTGAAATTGTTTTACAGTTTTGCAGAAGTCTATTTAAGGTGCAGTGATGAGGCAGTAAAAGTGACAGTTGGTTGGGGTGTAGACAAACACTGAGAGCAGCGAGGAGTGTTTAAAAGATACGATCCGTGTATTGCGATATTTGAACTTTTCTCATAAGTCTCACAGAAACACGGGACGCAAAGTACTTTGAATGTTTTCATTTAATTGCTGAGTGATAAAATATCTGTCAAGCAAGTGGTGTGTAATTTTAATAAATACAACTTGTTTGGGTGGGAGAGTTTGCTTGTCAAAATGAAGTTTGGAATGAAACAAGAGAGATAAAGAGCAGAAGGGGGGGACGATTCTGGAGAGAGAAGAAGGGAGGTTGCTTTCATCCAGAGCACACTGAAAAAAATAAAACAAGAAGAGGAGGATAGACTGAGATGAGGAGGGTTAATGTGTGTAGCCGCCTACAGCATGAGGGAAATGAGTTGATTGAAGCAAAAAGGAATGATATAGAGAAGTCTTGTGGCTGACTGGGTGGGGGGTGTCACTTGCAGATTTTTGTGCCACCAAGTTCCCTGCAGAAACCTTTTTTTTTTTTTTTTCCACCGCTGTCAACGCAACGGGTAAATGGAGCTCAGGTTTAAAGAAGCAATGCACTGTGGCTACTTCTTTTATTGCATTAACTATAAGCCTTGCTGTCAAGGATACTGGGGTCACGGTGACCTGTTTTCTTCAGGCTACAATAAAGTTAAAATTTACTAGGCACAGGGGTGCTTTAAGCTCTTACACCTTCCGCGTTTGACATGCTCTTTGTGGAGGCAATGGCCAAGTTCCCATTACATAACTGCTTCAGAATGACATCGTTTATATTTATTCACAGAAAGATCAGATCACTTTATCAGATGCCCTAAATCAGGGGACATTCCAAATTCCTGCTTTCTGTTTTATTTACTTATTTTGACAGTAAAAATAGCTTGGCTTTAGTTGAAGACGTCGAATGCGTCTATGTATTGAAGAGTAATTTTTCTGGGACGCCGACACGTTTTCTCTTTTTCAGGGTCTGAAGTTGGAGCCCAGTTTGATGCGATGCTGTCACATCCCCTGTGGAGGTTCCCCCCTTGACTATTCCGTCAACATCAGCAACAAACTTCAACTTGACATCCGTCGTCACATCAAAAAATACTACTCTGTGAGTATTTCTGTGTTTCTATGCCAGTTTGCCTGTTATTGTGAGGTTTTGATAAATGCAGCAGATCCTGACAAAAAAAAAAATACACTCAAAATTATGCACACTAAAGCACACAAAAACATTCATACAGTTAGTTTTCCTTCAGTATGTAATGCTGCAGCCTTTCAGACAACACAGATAGCCTGCTGATAATCTGTTTTCCAAATTTTTAAACCCTTTTCTCATCATCTATCTGTACTGTAGATGTAAAAGGAGGATATCTTTAGTCCATAAAAGCTACATTTAGGCTTGCTAAGCATTGTAATTGTTGCATACCACTATCTGTCAACACATTCCTAAAGAAATTAAATTAATGCTTCGGCTGACAAAATACAAGCTCAAGCTCAGAGAAGCAGAGCTGTGTATAATGAAATAGTCAAAACCTGTGAAAATTGACCTTCCACAAAGTGTCTGTGAAAGGGTTGGACTGTATTTAACACAATGGGGGATGCAACAGATGCAGTAATGTTAAAAAGATGTTGGACAAAAGATGAAGGAAACCTCAGCAGGGCACTGCGCTGACATTTTCAACCAAAGAGCACACTATGTGTGCAGAATGAAAAGAGCTCCATAAAGATTTGTAGGAGCATGATCCATGAAAATACTTAAATGGCCATTCTTGCTTTGAATACCAAGTTTAACATACTCATGCTGTCGTTTTAGATTATGAGGTGAAATTTAAATGAGACATCAGGGGAACTGTGCCATTAACTTATCAGTAAAAACTGACAATGCAATAAATCGAACATATCTGCCTTTAAAGATCAAGCCAATTTGTCTCTTTGTGAGGCAAATTACTGAGAATGTTGGATGATAAGCTTTACAGGGTGAATCATTTTTTGCAGTTTGACACATGGACAGGTTGTATTGCCTGCAGCATATTTGCAAGATGTGAAAGTATGGACCATCAGTTCTCTACACAGGGTTTTTCTGGAATTATTGGTGATGTCCAAAGAGATTTTAGCTACCCCTGAAAGAAGCGTTTCATATTTATATACTTTCAGATGTATAGACATGTTATCAAATATATGTGGAATATGCATTCATGCATGAATTTATTCAAAGCTGCCACTATTGATTCTTATTAACCAACTGATCATTTTACTTAAATTGATAAGTCAATTTATATACCCAAATAAATACTTATCAGATAGAGATAGAGGCACGACTGTTAGATTTCTACTGTACGTTTGCTACACCTCACCTGAAGTCATTACATAAAAGCATGGACCATTATCTCACAGTGTGCTGACATATGGGAACACTGGACGAACCAACAATATACCCAGGGTTTTCACCTGGCGTGCCAAACCGAAGTTGACCCCAGCCCGCCCCTAAGCATCAGACACACAGGTTTTTTTGAACGACTTACGATAGGATGGAGTTGTTGGAAACTGGAAAGCTTACCAGTGACATCTAACATTTGCAGTTCTTATTGAGTCAACATTAACTCAGCCTTGGGTTGACAAAGTTCAACTGGTGAGCACTTTTTTCTCAGGAAGTTATCAGAGAAACGATAGGACACTGCAATCAGTGTGTCACTGGCCCACGTTGATGATCATCTGCTAAAAATGGATTGCTGTCTGCGTGACCACACACTGCTTGTTAAAGCTCTGTTGCCCCGTTTATATACATCAGCTGCTTGTTTGCGTCAAATAGTCCTAATGCTTGTGCAATTATCCCCATGACTCTGCTCTATGCCTTACGTTGTAGCCAATCCAGCTATTTTTACAGTTGAAATAAGGACCGATACAATGCAATAAGGCAGTTTTCCACTTGTCAGAAAGTGATGGCAGCCCCCAGGTTGTCACTTAATGTTATTAATGCATCAAAAAGACTTAACTGTATTCATAGGGGTTATATTTAAAAAGGTTTAGCCAATGAGATAATTGCAAATGAGAATGTTTCTTTATTTCATATATAAAATGCATTTGTAAATTATATATTACAGTTTAGTTCCATATATAAACAAGGTCATTACACCTTTATACATACAGCATAAACATTATTGCCTATAATGTAATGCCTGATTATGATATAAACTACAAACATTTTTTTGGTTACAATTATTCAGTTACAAGAAAACACTGACGTTTTACAGAGACTTACCTTTGCTATGACCGCCCACATAAAGTTCTGTGTATTTACAACAATATTCGCCTATTCAGTTTTTACCAGATCTGTGTGTCTCTTTACCTGTCCTCTCTACGCCTGTCATTTATGCTGTGAATGAGAGCGTGCTGCGTTGCATGTTCCAGGACTGTGACTGGTCCCAGCTGCTGGATTTAACAACTTCTCAACATAAAGCAGGCAGCAAATCACACAAGCACACACATATTGCTCAAGAGTGCACAACAAGCATCTTGACTGTCTTTAGTAAATAGCACGGGCTGAAAACAACCTCAAGCTGATAGCTATAAACAGTCACTGAGTAATTGTGAGGTTTCTAATCCAAATTAGGGATTATTTGTGTCTTATGCGATAGACTATTCAGCTGTCAAAATATTCATAACGTGCAATCCTAATAGATACTGAGAAAGTAATGTCCAGTGTACCTGCTGAGGGTTTTGTGTTACTTCTCTGTTGTTTTCCAAAGTTGCCCATGCAGTGTCACTCTGATTTGTGTTGCTACAGTATCACACCCTGATATCCACAGACTGATAGATTCCTTTTGGACACAGTAGAGACAACAGTGCAGAGGTCTGGTTGCCACTGTACTCAGCCCACAGCCTGAGAGTGAATTAAACTGGATGCCTGTGTTGTCTTTGTAGAAGACTCTCTCTCTCTCTCTCTCTCTCTCTCTCTGTCTCTCTTCCTCTATCCCGGTAGCTTCCAACACCTTCGTCTTCAGCGAGTGGAATGCACTGTCTGTAAAAGTGTGTGTGCGTGGGGGGGTAACTCTCCCACAGTGCTGAACAGAAATCAATTAGTGCGGTGAATGTGTGGGGAGCGAGTCCCCCTCAGCCCCTTTGTCATGATGTGTGAAACAGCTGCTACCACTGAATACTTACACGTCACACAGCAACACACACACACACACACACACACGCACACACACACACACACCACTGTAGGCTGAACAGCAGTGGACTCTGCACACACAGCGGGGCAATGAAGAGGGGTAATATTGTGTAATTAAGGATTCCTTTCAGGCCGAGGGAGAGTTCAAATAGAGCTGTTTGTCTGGCCAGATAGAGTGAAAGCTCTGTACCTCTGTGTGTGTGTGTGTGTGTGTGTGTAGGTGTGTGTATGTGTGCAGATGAATATACGTACATGTGTGTTGGCGTCTTGAGCTAGGACCACAGAGACATTAATCATTAGTGAAATTACCTCCTGCCCCCCAAACCACCCCTCATCCCCGCGATTATCAATAAACCTGCACCCTGAGAATGGGCAAACACTTGTTCACACACACACACACACACACAGACACACACACTGTTGTCATCCTTCCCTCCTCTCGTCCCGCTGTCTTTGGCAAAATGAGAGATTCAGTTGTTTCCTGAAACACCCAATTCTTCTTTTCCTTTTTTTTTTTTATATATAAACCCCTCCCATCTAACCACCGTTGCCATGGCATTTAACAAATTATTGCAATTACCCTCGTCATGCGGGTCGCCCCTGGAAACGGGCTGAGGGGCAAGAGAAGAAAGGGGGAGGGAGAGAGAGAAAGGGTGAATGAAGACCAGAGAAGGTGATAATCCTGTTTTGAACAAAAGGTCAAATTGTTGAATAGAGAAGCTTTGATTAAGCGGAGGAGGTACAAAGTGGAACCGTTTGAGCTCTATTCAGTGTGTGTGTCTGTGTGAAGGGAGTGCGTGTTTGTGAAGTAGACCGATTTTTAGGTCCATTCACTTTAGAGCTGGAAGTGTTGACTGCTGGAGCACCAAAACCAGCTAGAGGTCTTGTGTGGCGCTGCTGTGTGCGAGTGTGGCAGGTGGATTCCTCTGCTACAGGAGTCATGTCAGAGTGGATTCTCTAATGTGGTACAAAAGAGCTCAAATGATTCATCAGTTAATCAATTATTTTGATCGATAAAGCAATATTTCTAAGTAGTTTTCTAAGATTTTTAACTTTTTTCGCTGTTAATCACACAAAGCAAACAGTTTGAGCTGAGATTTGAGCAGTTTATAAACTATTGCTGCAACTAATTCTGATTTTAATCATTGTGAAGTCTTTTGATTCCTCTGTTGACATATTTATCAAATATCAATGATGAAAATATACCTTTACAAGTTCCTGTAATCCAAGCTGATGAGAAACGAACATGTTCAGTTTTGCAATGATCTAAAACAGAACACAAGAGCAGGAAAGTGATAAATGCATATCTGCTCCTGGCACAAAACCACCAATTTGAAGACTTTTCTGGTACTTTATAGAGCAGTTAATCCACTTATTGGTTCAAGTTATCAGCAGATTAACCAATACTTAAAAACTATCATCAGCTGCAGCCATAATTAACAATACAGGACCCTCAACTAAAATTACCAAACACAGAAAGCGTGAATAAAGGGAAGGAGGTTCAGACTGAGGCTGCGACTAATAGTTATTGTCATTAGCAGTTAATATGTCCATTATTGATTAGTGAATGTTGTAGTCATTTGAGTGTCAGGGAGAAAAAAAGTAAAAATACCCATCACAAGTTCCTAGAAGTCTTTGAATTGCTTCTTCTGTCAGATTAAAAGTCCAAAGTGAATGTTTTGCTTGACAAATGACTGACCTGACCTTGAAAACAGACAGGTGACACATGAAAGAGGGAACGTGAACCCTTGAGCCCTGCATTGAGGAGTTCTGGTGGCTCTGTTGTCCTGTTAGGGGCATTCTGCTGGCATGGTTTGGGTCCAATTTTCCATTAAAAGGAAGGGTGCCTGTAAATCAATACAAACCTTTATCCTATGATGGAACATTTCTCCTTCGATGGGAGTGGTCTCTTCTCTGATGATAATGCCCCCATCCATAGGGCTGGAGGGGTCACTGAATGGTTTGATGAGTGTGAAAATAATGTAAATCATATGTTGTGGCCTTCACAGTCACCAGAGCTCAACCTAATTGGGAGATTTTGGACCAACACGTTAGATAGCACTCTCAACCACATCGTCAAAACAACTAATGAGGGATTATCTTTTAGAAAAATGACTTTTGGAGTCAATGCCAAGGCACACTGAAGCTGTTCTAGTGGCAGATGGTGACCTAACACCTTAATAAGACACTTTATGTCAGCTTTTCCTTTAATTTGTTGCTGTTCTGTAGATTCCTGCAGCTTCGAATAGTAATGAAGAGGATGTTGAAGTCTCAGACCCCAAAGTGTAGTGATGTAAGACAACAGAGAGGCTTTGGGAAGAGACGACCGTGCTAAAAGAAATGAGCAGACAAAGAAGAGGAAGCAGAGGGAGGGTATATTTCGTGGTGGGCCGTGTCGTGGCCTGGTCTTGCCTCTGTTTGGTTAAATTATGTGGAACTCATTTGACGTCTGCATTCAGTGTGTCAGGTATCCACTGCTATAATTATGCAATTATGAGTCTTTATTCTCTCACGTCCGACTGTACTCCCCCACCCCCCACCCCCGCTCTGGCAAAATGCTTCAATTAGATGTTTTTTTTTTCACCCTGCCTTGCTCCTGATATGCTTCTTGTTTTCAGTCCTCTCTATGTGGCTCACGGGTCTTCTGCACTTAATAATAACTTAATTTTTTTTTTTATGCGCATGGCTTGTGTGGATGGGTTTGGGGTCACAGTAGTAGAGCAGAAGGGCATTATGGGTAGCTGTTCTCCCTTTGAACCTCTTCAGGCTTTGCCTTAATAATTCAGTTTAATGCATGTGAATGGTGACCGATTAATATGTTTGTACTTCCACCGAATGCGTTTGCGTGTGTGTGAATTTGTTCCATGGGAACGGCAATGTGTGCCAAGGCTTGTGTCATATAAAACACACAAAAAAGACTGCCATCAAACGGGCTCCCACACCCATACACCTTATCTCCCATCTCCATGAACCATTGTCTGACGTATGTCTTTATCAGAAATGGTGAAGCAGGCTCATTTCCCATGATGCACAGCTCTTTGCACAAGAGCGGCAGAGGTGTTAAGATAATTAGTCGTGGAGATGGGGTTTGTGGGTAAAGCTGTGAACTCTGGGGCTTTCTAATTGATTTGGGACATATGTGTGTGTTTGGTTTTCATTTAGAGGAGATTGGCAAGATCTGTGTGTGTGTGTGTGTGCAGACTACATGTAGCTCTCCTCTCCCCGTCTACACCTAAATCACTTGTTTATGTGGATAAAAACGCAATAAACATCCTCAAAACTGACTTGTATGTGCAGTTTGTTCTGAAATGACATATGTGACCCGTATGCAAACTGTACACATTAAATCAGTTGTGCAGATGCTCTAGATTGTATCCCTTTTAGGCGTTAAAGCTGTGGGATCTCAGGAAAAGTTTCTAAATTTGGAAAATGAAAAGTTCAGTAATTAGGTTGTTGATTGCACAAAAATATCTGGTAAGAGTCACACAAAAAGTTTCAGAAGTTATATATAGATACTGTCATTTGACACACTGTCTTTGATAAAGATTAGGTAATTTATATATCTAGTTTATATTTGTATAAGCCATGATAGTGTATTAGGGGTCGGAATGGCATCATATGTTTCAGATAGTAACGTGACACAGCAATCTTTTCCATAATGGATACATTAGACAAGACAGTAATCTACGATGCATCAGCTGAAGAGGTAAATATACCCCTAAAAGACGAGAAGCAAGACATTATGTATTCATTGCATTGTAATGCGTGTGTGTGCATTATCATTATTATTCAATTTTAAGATTGTGTCAGTTCATTTAATTACTTCTCTGATTTGCTTTCCCCCACTGTCTGTGAAGTTCCTCCTGTGATTTTCTCCTTCTTCACCACAGGTTATTTAACTTCCGTTCACTTTACGATAATTCCTCTGATAAGTGCCACTATAAGTAGTTACAATCTGTTCAGGCTGTCTGCACGTTTTAATGAACATATCGATGTGTGGTGCCATTGTATCGTAGGAGGAAGTGACACAGCACACTGGTATCAATATGTTGTAACAACCATATATCTCACTAACATGTCACCTTTGACTCACATTAGTGGTTCTGGAGGTATTTCTAAGACAGGCAGAAAGAATTAGGATTTTTGTAGATAAATGTCACTTTAAGAGTGCGAGGCATTGCTTCTTTGAGCAGCTTGTTATGCGTACTGGACAGGTTGTAATTGCTGTACAGTGCTTACGAACTATGTCCTCCTTTTCGTTGAGTCATATATTTTGTTTTGCAACGAAGAATCAAAGTGAATGAAACTAAGATTTTTTGTTACTGAAAACATAGGCAAAGAGGCTTGAGCTACAAAACAGAAAGTAATCGCAAATAGGTGTTAATCCATTACAAATATAAAAGCAACAGATATTTTTATAAGTTAAAGAACCAACTGTGGTTAGTCAACATCTGGCTAAAAAACAACATAGACAACAGTATGAGGACAAGAAAATTAATACGAACCCTTTAAAAAAAAGAAGAAAAAATTACTCTGTTTAAAAAAAAAGTCAAGATTTGTTTTTCTGCCAGCGTAAAGCCAAATCTACACTGAAATCTCTCAAAAAGAACTTTCTACATATTTTTAATTGGCTCAGACTCCACGTCTTAGTTAAGTCCAGAATTATTGACTGAACTTAAACGTGCTGTTCATTCATAGATTCATTACAAGTTGACAGACTTTGAGTGTAAAGCTGCTACAAACCTGTCCACAGATACTACTCGTCATTCAAACATTCTAATGATATAGTTTCATATGTCTCAGCAACTTCACTAACTTATTTTCCTGTCTTCATAAAGCCACTTTAAAGTGTCACGTGCAGTACACATGCACCCCTGTAGTCGGCCTCGCTCGTGACAGGATGGGGAGCTTATACGCTATATGGTTAAATCAGCTGTAAAAGAGAAAAATAACTGTTTCTTTTTTAACTGCTGCAGCTCCAAAACTGATCAAGAGACTAGACAAAGGCAGACCAAAAAAATCAATCCGAGAAGCACCGCATGCCTGTATGTGTGTGTGTGTGGGGGGTGTGTGGATAGAAAGACAGGTGCAGTGGTTTACAAGGGGTTTATTTTGAATGAATGGAAGGAGGGAAGGATAGATGGATGTAGGAAAGGAGCAAAGGCGATGATGGCGGTGGGTCTTATGCTCTGTCATTAGTTGGGCATTAACCCCCTCCCCTTTAAACCCTCCTTAGTAATGACAGGGCATAAGAAGCAGAGGGGGGAGGAGGGGTCTGGAAGAATATGGGGAGATTGAGAGGGTTAGACCATAGCACCTGCCCAGGGTCACTACCTCACCCCAGGAGGTCCTAACTACTGCCGTTTTGGCTGTCCACTGCTCTGCCTGTCTGACAGAGCAGGACCCTGACACGCAGCAGCTGAGATACATTGAAATGTAAAGAGAGGGAGAGGGGTGGGATGTGAAGTCAGATGTAAATCTCGCCTCTCTTTCTTTGCTGTCTCGTGCAGTTGTTTTTATTTTACAAACCCTCTTTTTTTTTTTTTTCCCCCCTCTGAGTACTTTTCTTGTCAGATTGTTGTGCAGAATTAGAGCAGCTAAATGGAAGCAACAATTTTCAGCGAAATTTCCTCATTACCAGAAACTGTTTTTAAAGCTTCTCTAGGCAACAAAAGTTTTTTTTTTTCCTCCCTTTTCTTTTCTTTTTTTTTTTCTAGTCAATTTTTAAGAACACCTTTATCGACAAAATAAACGGCAACATGAACACATTTTATAAATGACTAATCACGTATGGCAGCGAAGGCAGCTGTGAATGTGTTTTCTGATGCAAACCTTTCTATGTTCATCTGTTTGATGGAAATGCACCTTATTCATTTGTGTTTTTGTCATATTTACATCTTGGATCCCTTTTAACATTAAAAAGTTAGAGCGCTGAATTGATTTCGTAAAAGTATTTGAGTAATAGAAGTTCTAGGAGTTTCGGTAATACTTTAAAAATCATAAAATTTAAATTAAGAGATTCGTCGGTTTTGCAGAGCGTAATTTAAAACTTTTGGCCTTTTTTTTGTTGTTGTTGTTTAACTTTCTCTTGATAAACTGATTGTTCTAGTTCCACTGAAGTTTGTGGATTTGACAGTTGGTGTTTTGTGTGTCACAGGGCTGGTTGGTGTGCGAGGATCAGGCCTGTCAGAACAGGACCAGACGTTTGCCCATCGCCTTCTCCCGACATGGACCCATCTGCCCTGCTTGTGCCAGAGCAACACTTCGACCAGAGGTAATGCACCTGATCCCACAAGCATCAGGATTTATGCCAACACACACATGATCATGCATTTAAAAAAATACACATCAGAATGGGTGTAGCATACAGGAAAAGCACAAAAAACTGCCACATTACACACATGTAGTGGGCTGCGGTTGAGCTGAATCCACACACACACATGGTCGTATTCTGTACGTCTTTTCCAGGTGATGGTGCTATGGAGCTGCAGTCTCACCTCTCATGTGTACATCTCCGCTCATTAGTGTCACATTTCACCATATAGACGCTCTGATAAAGCCGATCTTCTCTTTGTCTACTCGCTGCCGCGTGTCTGCGCGACTGTGCCCGTGTGCACATGTGCCTTGCCTCCATGTGTTTGGAAGGCGCTAAGAGCTGGATGGTAGTTTAGCCATTAAAAGCATCTGTCTGTCTAGCTGTGGTAGCCGCCTTATGAACACTTTGTTAGTTTGACCACTGGATTTAAAAGAAACACTCTCCCTATCAATTTGAGCATGACGGTTCAATCTTCGTTTTGTCCTCTCTTTCTCTGTCCCATTCTCACTATTCCCGTCTCAACCCTTGCCTTAACTCTCTCCTGTCAATTTTTTATCTTGCGTGCTCTGCTCCTATCTGTCCCCCCGTGGCTGCTTTGCTGTGTCTGGCTCTGTGGCGACAGGTTGTAAACCAGAAGGCCAATTTCTGCTGTCACTGTAGCCACTTAGGCAGCCATTGCTGTGCCTGAGGGCCGTGGCACTTTAAACTGCAGGCTGAATAAAACATTTAACTCTCTGTGCTCGCTCATGCTTCCTTTCTCTACCCTAAAAACTGTAGCCTGTCTTCATTTTACCTCACTGTTTGACTCACCGGCGTTTGATTACATGGTCTTTTTGTGTCCATCTGTCGAAGATTGATTATGATGACGACAAAACACGTGCGCAGTGAAGTTACAAGTTGCTTTGCATAAAGGTAGACAATAGGGTAGTGCGTAACATAAGCCACACTTGATGAAATTCTAAGAACTGGCAATTTAAAACGCAAAAACAAGTGCATTTGTTCTCAACTGTGAGGGTTTTTTATCAAACGGTAGCCAATAGTAACAAGTGCCATGGTCAGAGTTGGTACTTTCTGTAAGGCACAAAGACTAAAGTGCCTCTGTGATATGAAAATACAACACATGACGGTATGTTTTATTCAAGATAACCAGTTTCAATGTGACCTCCGTAATTTCTCAGTTTTAGTGTCTTCTCTAATGTTTTTTTTTTTTCCTGAAACTTCCACAAACGAATCCATGTCAAATATTGCTTATACTGCTTACAAAAGTAAACAAAAGTTGTAAATACAGAAAGTTCTTGCTTTTTTCTACCCTGCTTAACTAGCAAGGGTTCTTATGTTCACTACCTTAAAGGGCAGCTTGCAGATTGTCTAGTTAATGAATATGTAGCCAAAAACTGTCTATGTGTGTATTGCAGTACCGTTCCGTTTTGTTTGTAAGAAAGTTTTATACACACCTCAAAAAACACAACTTGATTGGGATTTCACGAAGGGGAGAAAGGCCAAGCTAGGTCAAGTTTACCAATTGGAAATATGGATCCTAACAGTACTTAGTAGTTTTGACACTGAAGAGGTCAAAAACGTAAATTCATATGCCTGTGATTATGTGATTATGACAAATGTTGCAGAGGTTAGAAACAGGTAAAGATTAGAATAAAGAACAGCTGTCAGAGGGAGCGAGTGAGGAGATAGACAAAGGTAACTAATGTGTGTTTTGCTATCACACATCAGGATATCAAAACTACAGTTTAATACAGGAACTTTGATACTCAACAGATGCTTGTGCACAAAGACTATGTAGGTTCAGTCGTCTGTCTCACATTGTCTAACAAAAAATGTATTTTGGTGCCATATGAGGAGTGAAAGAGGTGTTAGAGAGCTGACTGATTTAGAAGTCTGCAAACACAATAAAAGAAGACTAACGGCAGTAGGTTGCTTCTTTGTCGAGCCCATGGTGATGCTGAAGCAGCTCTGGACACCAAATGAACCACAAAAGATATCGATTTCATGTGGTCCGTACTGGGCTTAGACATCCCATCTAGAGCTCCATCGTATCTCCAGAAACTTCCTGTCTTTCCGCACTCAACGTCTCGTCTCTTCACCTGTACAAAAAGCGCCCAGGCTGGAAAGCTAGTTCTGTTTTTAGGGGCAGTGTGTACTCGATGTCCTGAAACACATGAACACTGTAATTCCCCATGATGAAAAATAGTGAAAGCCAACATAAAAAAATATATATAAAAAAAAAGACCAACTCACTAAACCTCACTACTCATTACCGCCGACTCCTGCAGAGTGGCCGTGGCAGGCATCACTACCTTATGTTGCGTAATAGGAAACGTTGTGGAAAAATAGACGTTTTAGCACCACTTATTCATCTGAATGTCTCCTTTTATGCCTTGTAAAACATAACACCTTGCATTGCCTTTTGAAATGACCATTTAAAGAAATTTAAACCATACATTCAGTAAAAAATTCAACCTGTGAGTTGCTTTTTTAAAAGGTTAAACAGGTGCTCAAAGGAGGGAACTTTAGAAACCCAATGAATACATTAAACTGACATATGACTTAAATGACCTGCTGAAGGAAGTGTTTTTTTACAGCACTGTGATGGAGCAGTCTGGTCATTTGCTTGAAGCATTTCTGCCTTCAGCATAATGTTGTCTTCCTCTGGAGCACCATGCTGCAACACACTAACGGAGTGATGATCAAATAAACGCACAGATGGCAGCCAATGTCAATAAAATGTAGGAAACCTCAGACTAAAAACCAGTTGGTTTCTGCATTAAGGATGTTTCTATCATTTTCTACCCAAATAAATGTGGCTTCACTGACATTTAGTTGCAGTTTTTGTGCAGGAGTGAAGCACCTTAAGAAAGAAGCGTTTCATGGATCTTCTCATGTCATATCGGAACAAACTTGGCCAAAGACTTGTGTGTTTATGTGAAGTTAAATCACTTTTTCAATCTGGTATACAATGTAGGCTCCAAGTGTAAAATGGGGATTTCTACTTTTGTTTTATATATCAGCTGCATGTTGTAACAGAACAATAAATGGAATAATTTCTTTTTTTAAATATCAAGTGTATCCGTGAACAAAATTAGCAGAGAAGTGAAATAGTAGACGTGAGGATAAAAAAAAAAGCAAATTTAAATGAATGTTCCTTTGAATAATTTATGAATTCTGCATTAAGGTTTTGTATTTGAGCCACTTCATTGAAATGTGTTACTTTATTAGCCTTTAATATTTAGGTTGGCACTATAAGCTCATTAAAGACATTGTTCGCAGACAGGGCTGCCGTCTAGCTATACAACACATACGTGCCCTGCTGAAGTGCCCTTAAGCAAGATATTTAAACCCTAATTATTGCCTTTGACCTCCCTTTTAGCGACTTCTTCACCTGGACCAGTGATTCATAGTAGCTACCACTGATTTCCAGTATTAGGTAACAGTGAAGCAAGCCAGTGTGTGGAGATTAATAGCCCAGCAGCTTACATATTTAATTGCTGCTAATTATGCAAAGAACTCAATGCGCCATTCATTGAGCTGCTGGTAGATAGACGACTCGGATAGGTAGAGAGAAAGATGAGGAATCCACCAGTTTCCACTCACATGTTGTCTTTTCGTTTAAAAAAAAAAAAAAAATAGATTGTAGTTTGAAAACCTCCATCAGATTTCTGTGCACCCAGCCAGGCTCCCAGGCTGCTGGATTACTCTGGCTGCATTCCCTTTATGCTTTCTATCTGCCAGTATCATCATAGATTATCAAGATAATATCAGCAGCAGCCAGAAAGACAATCAGAGATTCATCTTTGTGTATGCCACACTAAAAGCACTTGTTTGTGCCAGAGCTTCTGCGAAAGAGCATCTTGTTTGTGACTCTACATTCCTCTCTCTGTTGCATCATGGTACATTTACCGTCGCTGTGGGGGCTGCCTCTCCTCGCTTCTCCTTCCTCCATCCGTCTCTCTCCCTCTGCCTCTTCCTTTTTTTTTTTCCCCTCCCTCCCTCTGTCTCTCTCTCTCTCTGGACACAGATTCAGAGCGTGATCTGATCTCCATGTAATGGGAGAGTAATAGGCACTCTGCCTTGATTGGTTGGTAATTTGGGGGAGTTATGCACAGGTGCAATTTGTAATATTTTCAGTAAATTAAATTTCTTTCTCTTCCTCTCTCCCTCACTCTTCATCTCTCCCTCTCTCCTCTCCATCCCTCCCTCCCTCCCTCCCTCCAGAGTGCTTAACTCAAATAGGCTATTTTTCCTCACCCTGACTTCAATCTCTGTCCCGACTTTCCTTTTCTTTCTCCCCCTTTTATTCAATGCTTTCTTCCCTGCTCCTTTCTTTTCATATTCTTTCTCTCCATTGCCTCCCTTCTTAGCTCTCACACTCATTCTCTCTTCTCTTGGCTTGCTCTTTCTCTCCTCCTCCCACCCTCCCTTTCTGTCTCTCTCTTTTTCTCCCCTCGTTTTATTGATGTACGCTCAGGCGCCCATTAGAGCTCCCTTTTTCCCTCTAGTGGAAATTGCAGCATGTTAATTTTCACACAAATTACGGCAATAGCAGGTATCTCTATTTGATACATTATAGCGGGAGCAATCAGAGATAATTGAGTGCCTTTCAGAGGGAGACGGCTGCATTCACTGCCGGCTCAAAGCTGCCCCATTATCGCCTAATCGCTCTTTAAACACTGAATTTTGCCGAACAAAAATTCTTGTCATAATTTTGCTTAAGTGTATTTGGAAATCACAGTCCTTTGAGCGAGGATAATTGAAATCAAATCCCTTTCACTGGAGCTGACATTTCTACATTTCCCCCCAATTGAAATTAATTTCAAAAATTGAGCATGAATATCTTCAAATAGCAGGCAATTATGCCTTTCAATGGGGAGAAATTACCGGTGCTGAATCGTTGGAGGCTTGCGGGCGAGAGCACCAGTTAAATGCCTTTGTTTCCCGCCGTGTTTGCCTAGTAAAGATTTACATATATTGACTCATTATGGTGTCTTGTGAAGCTGATCGGCGTGACTACCACAACCGGCAATAACGCTCATCGCATCTAAAAAGCTCAAGAGTTTTAAAGCCTTGTGGCCTCACAGCTGAGGGAAAATGTATGTTTGTTTCTCTCCATCTCCCTCCCTTTTCTCACTCCCTCTCTCTTTCTGCAGCTGCAGTTGTGCGAGGGCTTGGATATTGTGGCTTTAGTATTTACAACGCATGTTTGCAGCAAAGCCGGAGAAGAGTATGGAGAAAAGTGTGTAATGCTGAGGCCTCGTCTGTGTCACCGGTGCTGTGATTTTCCTGTTTTAAACCAGATCCATGTCAAGCCAGTTAGTAGTGGGGGTTTTTTTCAGCACCACTCGGTTTCTGTTTTTGTTTGGCCTGCTGCCGTCTGTCCTCACACACACGCAGAGAAATTGTCAGACGGACTACCTTTTCATTAACTGCTTCACTGGTGTACTTGAGGAACAGTATAGTGCGCAAAAGTTCTCTGGAGGTCGGCTGTGTGTGCGCGTCTTTGTGCGTGTGCCTGTCACCTAAAAGATAGAGACAGGTGTTTTTAAGACTGAGGAAGTCTTGAGTGCTTGTTTTATTGTGTGAGCCATTTTAGACTGTTGCTCTGTGATTTGGATCAATTTGTATGATTTAGCCTCCTTTTCTTATTTCTTACTTTTCCCTTTATCCTATACATCCTGTCTCCACTCTCTCGCTCTTCTCTCACACTCGTGCGCACATTTCCCGCTTCCTTTTGGCATAACTGTGTTTTGCGTGTGTACATGGGCCAACATGTGTGTGTATATGTGTGTGTGTATGGGGGGGGGGGATAGTCAGTCAGGGATGAGGGAGGCAAAGGAGCAAAGGGGTACGTGGTGGGGGCTGGGGGGTCCAACACTCCCGGGAGAGAGGCAATTTCACAGCTGGTTTGCTCCTTAGGCAGTCAGGCTGAAAATGCTGCAGATTTGTGGAGCAAATTGAAATGGTGTCAGTGCAGGAACAAAGCGCCGAGCTGAATGACGAGGTAGGTGTGTGTGTGTGCGTGTGTGTGTGTTGGTGTGTGAGGGAGAGAGTGAGGTGGGGTTGAGGGGTGCTAAATTCAATAACAATCCTGTAACATTTTAGCCACGCCTTTCTGACACCTGTCAGTCAATCAGTGTGCAGCGACTGGCCCGCCCACAATCAGCATTATATTGTTTGAATGCGAGTGTTGTGCGCCTCTGTGGTGTGTGTGTGCGCGTTTTATTTTTCAAGAGGAAGAAGTGGTGTGTAGTGTTTGTACCGACCAAGCTTGTTCAACCTTGGCAACCGTAACCGAGGCTCCATTATGGGATGTGCATGGTTTGGTTGTTGACTAGGCAGTGCATCAGCGGTCAACAGCTGTGCGTGCCATGTGGGCAGCCATAGAAAGCCATTAAACACGCACACACTCACTTTCACACATCACATAGTTTGCATTTAGCTGCATTAGATACTCTCGCCACTTGATTATGCCACAGCAGTAAAAACTGAAATTACAATTACGCACATTGCCGATTGGCAGGTATAATGGGCACACACAAGCTCATGTCGCACACACACACACACTCACACAGATACTGACACACAGGAATTGTCAGGGGATTCTTCCTGGTGGTAATAATAAAGCACTCGGCGCACACCTGATGGCAGTGTGGGGTCGGGGCTTAGCGTGCCCTCTGCAGCGTAGCAGGGAAATGACGAGCCAATAACTGCAATTAAACATGCAGTATAATGGCTAATCAAATTGACAGCCTCGGCTGTTCGCATGCCTCTCTCACAATGGCTTATCACAACAAACTATTATGAGGGAGGGTATTTCAGGCCTGATCCCCTCTTTTCTCTCTCTCTCTCTCTCTCTCTCTGCCTCTCTCTCTCTCTTCCTCACTGTTTCTCACCATCTCTCACTTCTTTCTGCATCTTTACCCTTTCTCTCTCTTTTGCTCTTCCTCCCTTCTTTCCCTCCCGCCCCTCCGTCTCGCTCATCCTCTCCGTCTCTTTCCCCTCTCTCCCTCTGGCAGGCTGTCGTGTGGCTCCACTTAATTGCGGTGGAGATTAACAAAGCAAGCAAATTTGTTTTCTTGCTTTACTGTGTCACACAGAGGAAGGGAGATGTTTTCAGGGAGGTATAGTCATTGGAGCGGGGCGCACCCTCATAGAGTCGCGTTCAATCAGGCTGTTTCTCCAACCAGCTTTATCATTCTGTTGTGGATGTGTTTTTTTTGTTTTGTTTTTTTTTTCTTGTCCTGTCATGATCTTGACTCCACTCTCAACAGATTGAAATAATGGTGATTAATCACTTATTTTGGCAAACAGAAAATAAAACGGAGGAGTAGCATTGCTAGTGAGTTGGCTGTATGGTGGCGGGGATATTCTGACCCAAACATTCAACACGAAGCTCTCAATCCACCATCACTTCACCTTTAGCGTGATCGAGCTTTGTTTGTTTTATATATTTTTGCAGAAGTAACATAATTTATGTTCTCTTTGCAGTACTCTGAGAAGGCCCTGTACAACCAGCTCTGCTTCTACAAGTTCATCTTTGACTGGGACTACGCAGCTGCCAAAGTGCTACAAGCTGATGAGAGACGTAAGACTACACACACACATTGTACACATTGTCTCATACTGTACCATTAGATGTAACTTTTCACAGGTCTTTTACTATCTGTTGCATACTTATGTTTTGTGTAGCGTTTGCTGTGAAACACAGTGTGCTTTTGTAACTTTTTATCATATTTCTTTTGCTGTTTCTGCCACTACTCTGCTGTCCTGCCTTTGGAACTGAAATCAAGTTAGTCGAAGCACCGAACTTTGAATTTTAATGTCCTAACAAGGCTTTCTCACAAATACACATACAACATAGCATTAGCAATCAATGTCTCAACATAAACCTTTTACCCAGGCTGCACTTAAAATATTCACCAATGATGTGACGCGCACGCAGGCACGCACAAACACACAAGCAGCGAGCATGGGCATTGGATATGGGGAGGGGGTTAAGGACATTCAGCTCCTCGAGTCGACAGCCCTAATTTAGGAGACGGATTCAATCACACACACATACAGAATGCAAAACGCTCCAATCACTGGAAGAAAGAAGGAAAGAGCCCTCCATCGCTCTCCCTCTACCCCTACCCTCACTGTCCATCTCTACTGCTTTCTCTCCCTTGCTCTCTCGCTCCTGTCTCTCTCTCTCTCCCTCTCTTGGACAGGCACTCGTTTGGCTGTGTTGATTGAAAACAGGTTTTAGATTTGGGGAAATGATAGGGGGAGTAATGGGCGCGCTGACGAAAGGATAGCCCTTCTCCTATAATGGGACATGGAGCGTATATTTCCCCCCTTGGACTCAAATAGACGCTACTCCAGCGATCTGGGCGCACTCAGTAGGCGTCAGCGACAAGGCCTCTTTACCCATAGTTCTCCCTGATTGATGTCACTTGATTAGAAAGGGCCGCTGGGCCGAGTGATTTATTTATTTGATTAAATATTTATGTATGTATGTTATTTATGTATGTACGCCTGAATGTTGCGAGTGTGTGCGCTCGGACCCGAGTGAGGCAGCAAAAGAGTGAGATAGCAGAGTTAAATATAACGTGTAATCAACAGATGACCACTCAGAAGATGGAGGGAGCTGAAATACAGGGATTGGACCATTGTGGAGGAGGGTGGGGGGTGGGGGGGGCAGCTAACATGATTATAGCCTCCATTTTTGCTTTCTTTTATTTCTGTCTTTGCCCAGATGCAAGAAATCATCGCCAATCAATTCTTGACTCTCCTCCTTTCTTTATGTTCCCGTGCTTCGCAATGTTTGTGATTTGTGCGTACTTTCTCTTCCCGCGTTCCAATGTTATTTCGTATCTCACAATACAATGCATTCTTTACATAGTGGTAAAGTGCTGGAAATGTGTGCTCACAATTTACTGTACACATAGAGGACACACTGTTCAGAAAACAATGCATGTGGAATGGTCGTGCTGTAGTTTAACATCCCAACTTGTGATGCCTAACGTGTGTTCCACAGACCAGAAATGACAGAGAAAAAGAAAACGGGCTAAAAACCGACGTTGCACACGTCTGTTCATTTACTATTTCCAAAAAAAAGACCCACCTCACCGAGTTTCTATGCAGTATGAAGAAGAATGGAATTTAGTTTTAGTCTTTTACACGCCTGGATAGCTGTGACAAGAAATATTTTAGCGTCTAGACTATTTTCTCGATTCTTTCTCTAAAATATGAAATTCAGAATTTCTAAAAATGAATTGATCTTACAAGCAGAGTGATTTTCATGGCGTTTGGAGAAGGCAGCCAGTGTGTGTGAGAGAGCGCGGGCAGGAGTGAGCTTGATGTCGTCGAAAGCGGGGCGAGAACTATGGCGTTGCGAGTGAACGCACACTCTCACACAGAGCTGTACATATGTTACAGCCTGTAAAATAGTTCTCTCCCATGTGCCTTTTAACTGTACCAAATCCAGGCATCTCTGATCAGATTAGTTTGAAATAAACTTGTCTGAACATTTAGGAGTTTTGCAGTGATGCAGTTAATACAAGAATAAATGAACTGTGTTTTCTGTGTAAGGAAAACATACTTGCTGCGCTTATTGTGGAAGATCTCTCTGCTGGAAAACTGTCATGAGGCCATTTTAGGTCTAAAGACAGATGATTGTATGTACATGTAAAATGATCTTGCCTACCTGTTTTGCAGCAAGAGTATGGCTGTATAGGTATTTATACAGCCACAAGGAACCCAATGTTTTGTATTCATAAATGTGCCTATTTTATTATTAGGAACTTTTGTTTACATGATGGCTTGTTGAAGTGTGAACTCAAAAAGGCACATGTACTTTCAAAAAGCACAGCAATGAATAGGCTGTTGGTGTTGTTTTTATATCATCGTCGCAAATATTTACTCTAATTTTGAAATCATTTGACAGCAGTTGCATATGCTGTTTAGGGACCAATTGAGGACCAAGCATTGAAAAATCTACCAAGAAATCTAGAGATGTGAGGTATGGAATTTTAAAATGGAAAATCCTGACATCATGTGCTAACCTTGGATACAACCTCTACATTTTACTCAGATTGTTCAACTAAGTAGAGATCCCCTTTAAGGACAGACAGGGCCAAAACTGGAAGTCTGCTTAACAATTCACCTGCACTGTTTGTGCTTCAGCCGGATACCTGCAGACAGCTAGTTAGCTGGCAGTAGCTAACCTCCAGGGACAGTCTGAATAAAGTTTCATCCACACACTTGACTTTCATACCATTCGGTTGTGGGTTCCCCTCTTCCGTTTTGTAACTACCACCACACAAACATCCTGAAACCTTTTTAAAGTTGCATCATACACTTAGCACAAGAGCTTGTTCCAAGTGTCAGAAATTTTGTAAACATTTCATATCAGGTTTATAATTACTCTCTTTTCCGTGTTCAGGTTAAACATCAGCGTGTTGCAGCTGCAGTGAAGGGAATACAGTAGCTACAGCTGTAGAGAGAAGTGCACCGAGTGTGAATTTGTGGTCCAGTTTTCTTTTGACATGATAGAAAGAGCGTCTCTGTGGACTGTAATGGGTCACAGATCAGGCGGTGCACAGGTCAGAAGGTTCTAGAGGGACTGGATGACCCACCACCTATTGGTCTTAACAAATAGTCCACATCTAGACACCGTCATGTTTACTTGTTACTCCATTCTGTCCATCCGCCACATGGGAGTACATTGCTCTATTTCATTTTCCTTCCTTTTGGAGGGGTTGGTCTTCTGAACACTCGTCCTCTTTCCGTGCTTTGTCCCCAAAATCAGTTCTGCAGCCAGCGCTATTCAGCGCAACAAGTGTCCTCTGACATGATAGCTACCGAAATGTTACTTGCTCTACTTGCACTTTCTTGCTTGTTTTTAATAATCACTAGCTTGTTTATGTGGCATATGTAGTCGTAAAACTACCATCACCCTATTCAGTATCATGTCACATTAATTCAGGATGCTTTGCTGCACCATGTCTGTATCAGGGCTAACACTGACCTTACAAGGTGTAAGGCAAATATGCGTACTTTGATCAGTACATTTCTAGCACTGATATATGATTTTAAAAAGTACAAGACTGTGTTATTGTTTGGAAACATTGAAGTGTAAGTTATGAGAGCAACATGCAGGACTGTATTTTTACTGATGTAATTTTGCAGTTTATTAATATGTGACCCTGGAAATACCAGCTTGTGCTCAAGTTGTGTTTGTATGACCAGGAGGATGGCATAGATGTTTGTTCTTTTGTGTGTGTTTTTTTTATCCAGGTAGGAGGTGACAAACATGGCAGATCTGTTGGGACTAGAATGCGGCATGTTTTAGTCAGCACCTATACATCACTCTGTTGTTGATAACGGCTTACAATGTGAGCACGTATCAGTTAGTCCCGTCTGCCAACGCTGACAAACCAGTGTGTCCACCAGATGATTAATATCCAACACACACACACACACACACACACACACACCACTGCGTTCCTCAAAGTGAGGAAGATACACGCATACAAACACTCATGCTGATATAAAATATAGGTTTAAGGTGTTATCCCTCAGTCCTGGGGTAGTAATACCCCATATTACTGCATTACTCACCCAGGGGCCACACTGCTCAGATTACAGGGAGGAGACATACAATCCTATACACCCAACTCTATATTCCGTCTCTGTGCATAGTCTGGCGTCTCTGGGGGAGTGTGTGCATATATATCTATTCTGATGAAGAGCACTGTTTGTGCACCATTTCAGCTTGATATCGTGTCTTCTTTCTGGTGGTGATTGTAGCGAATACAGACAACTTCAGCTGCTAATAGAAGAGCTGGTGTGACACTGTGCTTGTTGACTAAAGTTTTGGACTTTGATCTGCTTTTTTTCTGCCATTGAAGCTCATAAAAAGTTATTGAACATCATCAGGAATTACAAAAACTATGTCAGAACTAAACTGTATTTTTGGTATTGACAGCAATTCTGTGACTAAACCCATCATTTTTTGTTCCTACTCTCTAGTATTGTCAGCGTATTCCTATTATTACTACAACGAACTTAATATTTATCGTTGTCATGATTTCGACTTCCACCAGTGAAATGAACTTGATTGATGGTGATATTGATGTTTAAAATGTGCGCTCCAATCCTTGTAAACAGATCATATCGATATAAATACTTGTGACATTAGAGCAAAATATTTCACTTTATTCAGAGACTTTTAGTCACACACTTGCATGACAGACATTTGTGTGCACTGCAGTAACTGAGTGGAGACTAGAGGCCTCTTTGCGCAGCTACCTAGCATCTACTGAAGACTGCATCTGAGGTGTTTAGGGAACACTGGTAAATTCTAGTATATCAATAAGCAGATATTTAGCAATTCAGCCGGTTTGGGTACAGTGTTATTGATATTTTTTTTGAATCTAGGAGGTGAGTTCAGTTGAAGAAGAACCTCACACTAAGTTTTACTTTGGTGCCAACATGTTACATTCACAGGAATCTTATATGACATAGATGCAAAAGCAGGGCTCTGTTTTTTTTAAATGTGAAGATTTTCGGTATAAAATGTTTTGTTTCTAAAGCCAATTAAGAATCAAGATCTCAATACTGTTTACAATAATTGTGATGATCATTCCCGTGTCATCCAGTGCCATAATTATATTTATCGCTATTAACAACACAACAGTGAGCCTCGCATGCACTGCACGACATGTTCCTTTATAGCTACGAACACAGACGTACATTATCTTGACCTAGTTCAACACACACAGTTTTGCAGCCAAAAATACATAAAAGCACACCAAATGTGCATTAATTTGTTCCTGAATATACTCCCCTCAAAGGCCCTGTATTTACGCTATTGTTAGAGCAGCTGTTTTTTGTTGAACCCAGAATTCACAGAACTGTAACTGCATATGTAACTCTTTGTTTTTACATCTGTACTGGCGAATACAGCTAACATTTCATCCATCCATCCATTAGCTATAGCCACTTTATCCTGTAGGGAGTCGCAGCGGGCTGGAGCCCGTCCCAGCTGACATTGGCCGAGCGGTGGGGTACGCCCCGGACAGGTCGCCAGTCCATCACTGTGCTAACACAAAGAGACAGGCAACCACGCGCACTCAAATCCAATTTAGATTCCAAAATGAACCCACTATGCATGTCGTTGCACTGTGGGAGGAAGCTGGAGCACCCGGTGAAAACCCAGCGCAGGCACCGGGAGAACATACAAACTCCACACAGCTGCTCACCACTGCCATTTCAGTCAAAGTTGAAAGAATACCTTCACTCCCTCAACCAAGACAAATGCTCAGTTATTTGAACTGCTAGCTTAGCATTAGCAGGGCTTCAATGGATGCTTCAGAGACTGACGGAACAGTGGATATGCATGCATGGTATGGAAGGACAGAATATATGGCACAAACACTATAACACTGATCAACACGGGAAACCACTTACTTGCAAGTAGTCTTTCTACTTTTGCTTTCTCAGCAGCCTGCTCTCAATCCTTCATACGTCACGCTTTCCACAGACCTGACAGCTGCATTTTTATGTCAAAGAGACGAACGAGTAACAAGTTGTTGGCTTTGGTCTTTTGAGGAGATTCATTAAAAAGAGCAACGGAGAATATTTCCATCCTCATCCTTTGATGTTTGCATTTCTTTTTGTTTACTAAAAGTAAGCGTGTGTCATCCTAAGCTACAGTACCTGTTGTGTTTGATAATATCTGACTATTTATGTTTTGTGCAGCCATTGTAAAGCCTGAATGCACATGTTTTAGAGTGTGGTGAACATATATCATACAGCACATTAAAGGAAAATAGCTTTACATAAGTGCTCTGAGTCAACGCAGAATGTAATTTGATCAGCTTCAGGGTGTGTGTGTGTGTGTGTGTGTGTGTACTGCGCAGTGCTCTCGTATATTTATGTGTGTGCACATTTGCAAGCGTGCGCCTGTCTTATCTACATGTACATTGCATTTTTGTGCCTGATTGCTGCGACTGAGTAAAACATGGAGGTAATTTCATCCGCTGCAGGAGATCTCTAATAGATTACACACACACACACACAGGCGCACACACCATGAAAAAAAAACATGCTGTCCGTTCCTTAGCTGGGAACATCCCGTATCAATGACTTTTAAATCATTTCGTGTCACTTTTCTTCTCCCCGTCTCCCCTGTTCTCCCTTTTCACGTCCCTCCTCCCTTGTTTCCTCTATCTGTTGCCTTTCTCTTCCCTCCATCCTCCCCTCCCCTCCCCACCGCCTTCCTCTGGGTCTCAATCTTGAGTGTGGGCAGTATGATTGCGTGTGTGAGCAATAATGTAATTTTGCCGCATTGATAAAATATAAATTGTCCTTGAGCTGCGCTTTTCTAATGATCCATTTACAGACAGCTTCCCTACCACCTCTCGGTGCTCTGCATTTGGTCCTCTTCTACCCTCCCACTCCTCTTCCTCTCACTCTCTTCTTTCTCCTCTCCTCCTTTCCCTCTCCATTTTCTTCCCTCTCTCTCTCTCTCTCTCTCTCTCTCTCCCTTCTCTCTCTCCATCTTCCACACTCCCCTCCCTTTCACCGCCGATAGAAAGCGGGGTGGCAAAATCCGCGGGTGCGATTGTCAAATCAATTATTCATTCTGTGCAATTACACTCACACAAAGAAGTTTCCCTGTGCTCCGAGTGGTGATTAAATTAACTGCTATTCCAGCTGCCCGTCGCCACCAGCCTAATAGAATATTCATGGAGGCGGCCGACGGAATGGCCGATCTCCATTAACTTCATCATGCTCACTTAATTACAGGCTTGTTATTGTATTTACACCTAGTTAGAGCGTGCAGAGCCCCGATCTACTCGTGCCCAGCACCGCCAGCATGTGCGCGAGTGTGTGACAACACCTAGTTAGAGCAAAGATAACCCCTGATACACTCACTGTGCATGTGTGAGTGTGTGTTGTACTTTGTGTGTGTGTGACGGAGAGAAAGATGGCGCCCGCGTTGACAAATTTCTGTCCAATGTGTTCAATTAGACAAAGTTTTCAAGATCCAAAGAGACATCGTGCTTTCTATCCACACGTCATTTTCCATCTTTCATTCCAGTCAGCGTCTCTTTCTTTCTTGTTATTTTCACTCCTTTCTTTTTTTCCCCCTTCGCGTCTCGGCCTTCCCCAATAACGCCGTCCCCCCTCTCTTCTCTCCTTCCGCCTCACACTCCCTCTTTAGGGGAGGCTATTTATTTGAACTACACTCCCCACTGTGCTCCGACTTGCAGCACGGTCTCTCCCTCTTTCTTTTCCTCTCTGTGACTCTTAAATCATTCTTTTATCTGTTCGCCACACAGTGATTGAGGTGGAAAAGAGAAAGGAGTGAGGAAAGGGGGAAGAGGAGAGGAGGGGGAGAATTATTTTCTCCTACCTTTCAGAAATGATGACATGATTGCTTTCGCTTGATCATGCATCATCACCCCCTTCTATTCCCCAGATAAATAGACTAGTCTGTCTCTCTCTGCCTCTCTTCTCCCCTTTTCTCCCTCCGTCCCTGTCCCTGCTAACATGAGGATTATCTGGTAATAGTTGCTGCTGGCGTTTAAGTCAACCACACCATCTTCCTATGTGTGTGTGCACATGCATGTGTGATTGCCATTTGTCACATGGATGTTTTTTGTGCGACTGCCAGTTATTGTGCTTTTTAAGTGTTTAACTACCTTCGTCGTTGGGTATGTTCTCTTAGCGTGTGTGTGTGTGCGACTGCCTCACTGTTGATCACTGTGTATCTAACCTTTGTTCCCTTGGGCAGTCAGTGGGCTGGTATTTATCCAGCAGCCGCTAATGTAGCAGGCAGGAAGGACGAGGCAGGAGATAGGGCCGTGGAGATGGCGAGGACATGACAATCGGCCATATGGACGACTTTGCGTGTCTGTGTATACACAACGTCACGTAGACACAAAACAAGCACTCCGAAGACACCCCATCGGGCGTTAAAGAGCAGCGATGTAGTCACAGTTCCAACTCCCATTTTCATTATCAGTTAATCTGCGAATTGTTTCCTCGATTTACTGTCCGTTTTATACCGTCAGGAAATAATGAAAATGCCCCTCACTGTTTTCTTCTGCTCCACTGCTCATTGAATTTGCCGCTGACACCCTGTCATCATATATGCGATACTGCTGCCTAAATGATGTTTGTCTGCGGACCAAATGTTGCAAATAATGTGAATACAAGATGTGTTCTTTTTGTTTGCTTTATAGTTTTTCATTGAAAATGAAAACATAGACAAACACAGTTTATTCTCTGTATGAAAGAATGGATTAACGCTGTAAAATGAGTGGAGACGAAACAAAAGTGTGTAACTCCATTTTCCTGTTCCTTCACCAGCTCCCGTCAACTCACCATTATACCCGATGCTGCACTCTTTGGCGTGATAGCGTGTTATTACTTGGTTTCATGATACTTCATCTACACTCGACGCTCGGTATAATATTGTAAAGAATTGGTTGCGGTGGCCACCCTGCCCAAGATGGTCGTCTCTCAGTCTTCTCTCTAGCCTTATTATGGCCCACCTGAAGAGATAACAGGGACAAGATATTGACTTCATGCTCTCGTTGGGCTTTTCTATCGATCTCATGAATCCTGTGTGTGTGCATGTGCCATCGACCCATCAGTCCAATTCTGCGCGATCGCCCCACCAGCCCTCAAACTGATAGCGTTACTTGCAGATGGCATTGGATCTCTTAGCTCTCCAGTTAAGAGTGAAACGCTGTTAAGTGTTTATTAGTAACGAGACAAAGCCCGTGCGCTCTCTTTTACAGCGGGACTCAGCAGAACTTAATAATCCAGACGGAGAGCAACCGGAGTTGTCGAGGAGCGAAGCGTTACATTGAAATGCACGCGCTGTGGTATTGACTGTGACCCATTTGGAGAGCCTTCATGGAGCTCTGGCAGTGATAACTCTTCTGTCCTTTCCTTCTCCAGCTCGTGTTAACCGGATGGCCAAAGAAAAAGATGTGTACCGGAGGCTAAAGGAAGTGCCGGAGAAAGCCTTGGCCACCAGTGGCTACTCGGAGATTAACCTGGCCAAACTCTTCCAGGCTTTCTCCTCGCTCAAGTAAAACAACACACGCACATCTGTAACGACAACACCGCCAAGAGGCTCCGACATCTTGACTCAAAACTGGACATTCGCACGTTCACCTGCAGTTTTTCTTTTGGTTTCCAAATACAGCACGGTTGGTGAATCACCCTCACATCATCATCTTTAAACCTGTTGGTCTCGTTTTATAGCAGCTTAGATGTTCACCGTTCCCTGGTTTCTTCACACACATATTCGCACACTCTCACGACTTGACCTCATCACCCTGACTCTGTATGGTAAAGGGGAGTAGCAATCATACCTAAATGACAGTCTATTGTGTGTGCGGAGGCTAGCTGAGCCCTGATGTGTGTAAGTGTAAGGATGACTTATCCTCAGAGCAGCCAGTATACTCCATAAGCCACTAATTAGCCAATGATAGTGACCCGGGCCACTAAGACCACTGGATGCCTGCAGCGATCGGACACTTGTTCTGATTACCACCATTCATACTGTGTGTGTGTGAGTGTGTGTGTGTGTGTGTGTGTGAGAGATCAGTGGATGAAAGAAAGGTGTAAGGAGGATGCGGGCAGTGATGGGGTGAGGGAGGCCACACGCGCTGCTCCCTCACTCTTTTGTCCCAATATCGAACAGCTGATCTCCTTCTCCTCCGGTGCCTCTGTTTAACTGATGTCATTTCATCCCTTTCACTTCTTCTTTTTTTCTTTCCTCTACCCCCCTTTTAAACCCTTCCTCCCCCCCTGTGCAAATTGTGTTTTAAAGCATGTAATTTTCTATGTAATCTGAGTAGTATTTCTCAGAAGGGTCTGTGTCATTTTTTCTTCTTCTCTTGTAATGACCAGAATATTTCGTATTTTGATATCGATGAGAGTGTTTTTGATACTGAAAACCTTAATAAATAAAGCTAAATGGGTAAGAAGTTAATCCTGTGTTATTTGCAGAGTGGGGGGGCGAGTTGACAGAAATGGGTGGATGGATATCCTGTAGTGTATCCTGTAAATCAGCAAACATGCAATTACAGCTGATTATTAAAAAAAAAACTACATGGGGGGGAAAAACATTTATTATCTTCCCATTTTTAGTTTGGTAGTTAAATTGAGCTTCTTTCGATTTCAATTGAAACCATATTTAAAGGATAAATCTCATGATATTAATTAACTAATCCCAGGAAATGACCAAAAGCAACAATGAGTCAGTTACATTAAGAAGTAATCTGTGTATCTAAATCTAGTAGAAAAAATATCAGTAAAGCTCTGTGGCAACAACATGTCAGCTGTAATGTCACTTCCTACTTTTGAAAATGCTCACTAGTACATGTAATACACTTTAATCTGCTGCTGGAAAAAGTCCTCAACAAGTGCACCGCTTTTCTTTTTGGTTAAAACAATGTCTTGCACATTTTTAAAAAATATTGGACCTTTTTATTAAAAACAAAAGTTTATATATGTATTTGAGAAAAGTAGTTGTGCTTGGAGCTGAGAGTGAGATTCAAAATGGTGCATTTTATGAATTTTATTTCATTTTTTTGCGGTCATAAGGAGGAATACTGCCAGCATTACTCTTTAAATAAATGTTTCTAAACGTCCAGGCAGGATCTGGTGACACAATCCTCTATCAGCACACTTGCAATTTCCCATCAGAGTCGTGACACGGCTGCTGCAGCTGATGAAGCCTTTTACTTACAGTCTACTGAATTAAACCTGTGTAATAATAAAAAAAAAAAAATCAACCTGCTCCTTTGCACTGATGCCTAATTATGTAACGATCCGGCACATGGAGCAGCCCTGCTCGCTGATTCGACCTCACACAAACATATTAATGGATAAACTAAAAGGCAATCTCCTGATACATACTGTAATATCCCCCTATACTGTCTGTATTTACTCCGCTGTGGTTAAAGTTCATCATGTAACTCACTATTTGAAGTGTTCCACCTTTTTTTTTTTTCCTCTTCGGAAAAGGAAAAAAAAAAACAAAAGTTCCTTTGTGTTAATACAGTCGAGGGATTTTTTACTCCATCCTGCCGTGTGCATTTCCATAAACACTGCACGCCTCACAAATCACTTCAAACCACTGTGACTTGTGAAGGCAACCTTAAGTGGGCTGAACACTTAAACCATGATTCACTATGCAATGGATAGAACATGCTGTGTGTGTGTGTGTGTGAGGAGAGAGAAAGTGTCTCCATGCATTTGCAGCCTATTGCTCATAACTTTACATATTTATTAAATCATATCCACTACTTCTCCCTCTAGCTCCTCTTTTTTTTTCTTCCCCCTTCTCAATTTAATCAACCAAGATGTGCACCAGGGCCTATTCCCACTAAACCACACTGCAGGTTTTTAAGTGAGGGCCCTGTGTTTTTTTTTTTTTCTTCTTCCCAGTTTGGAGCAAACCCAGTCAAATTAAGTCCCTGCATTAATTCGACCCTGCTAAAGCTAATAAGGTCGAACAAGTCTCTTTGTTATTGTCGTGTTAAGCTTTATTGCTTGTCGTTTTGACCAGCGATGGACAAGGTAGGCTTTGATGAGGGAATTAGTCGCCTATTCTGTCCCTGTTATTCATAGCGCGGTGGAACATACAAGCACCGGAGAGGGTGTCAAAAGGAGAGCTGGTCCTATTGCAAAGTGTCTCCCTTGTTGGAGCTGAAAGGGCGGTTATGAGACGATAAACCGCTTAATACACTGAGCTAATTGGATGAGAGCAAGAGAGACGGGGAATTAAGGGGCGATCCGAAGGAAGGGAGGGAGAGGGAGAGGGAGAGCGCAGAGCCGTGGCCCCTGCTATTCAGGGCTTTCATCGGGACCCGGTTCTCCGCCTGGGGTGAGGGCAAGAGGGGGGGAGAGGAGAGAGGAGAGGAGGAGAGAGGAGGGTGTTCATCAAAGCGCCTTTTAGAGCTCCTCTCCCGGGGACTGAGTTGAGGACTGATCCGGCTGAGGCTGTGGAGTGATTGGGCCTATTCTCTCAGGCGAGGGACGTGGTGGGAGAAACGAGGCCCGGGAGAATCCAAATCACGGGCCAAATCAAGTCCAGCAGCCGGGGGAGGGAGGAGATGGAGGAAGAGGAGGAGAGGGGGAGCAGCGGTGATGAAAATGGGCAAGTCAGGTTTTCTTTTTTTTTGTTTTTCTGGACACCTGGATTTACCTGCATTAAAGACTAAATGATGATTTGTGGAAAAAGAAAGAAAGCAGCTCCTCATTTTCCTCCAACAACACTCATTATCATTCTAATCCCATGTTGCAGGGTCTTGAATGAACACATCCAACAAGTGTGACTTTATAAATCCAAGAGCCACTGCATGCCCACCCCTCCTTCTCCCTCCCTCTTTTTTTTTTTTTTTTTCGAACAACATTTCAATTTTCTCGCCTTTTTGCGCCGCAAAAGAAAGTTTAAGCCGCGCTCCCAGCGGGTCACCCGCCTCCTGGCATTCCCCAGATATTAGGGACAAATTGGTTTGCCATTCATTAGTTATATTCACAATAAGATTAAAAAACTCCCCGGACAATCTCATCAAAACCCTATAGGGCCATACAGGGAGAAGGAGGAAGAAAAAAAAAAATAAAAACACGCTCCAGCGAGCTTGAGCAAAAGAATGAGGAATTTTAAAAAACATGGAGCTCTCACACATCGCGCATGATGGTTTGTGCGCACTGGAGAAAATTGCTTTTTTT